CAGGAGCGCGCGCAGGCTCGCGACGAGCGCCCTGGCTAATTGCTGCTTTTACTGAGGGTGAAGCGGGGAGGACCCAGAGCAGGGTTAGACACAGCGGCATCTGAATGGCAAGATGAGTAACGCTGTTGAGGGCCTTACTCACTCACTGCATCACCCCTCCTGGGATTTTCTTTCCTGATTTTTTTTCCTTAAGCAGACAAAGAAAGTGCTGGAGGCACAACGGCTCTGCGGGCCCTGGATGACCTGACCTGCTCTAAAATAAAACAGGAGTGCAGCTTCAGTTATTGCTGTCTAGGGATTCTCCCTCCCCCTCGCCATCGTCCAGCATGAAACCTTTACTGGCGTGAAGGAGTGGTGCCCGAGTTCACTGCATTGAGCAACTCCGGTTTCAAATAACCTCCCTAAAAATCCGCAGCAGGAGGAGAGGCAGGAGCCCGAAATCCCATCTCTTCCCTCCGCTCCCCACGACCTGCCCTGGCAAAGCTGTCGCCCGTAAGGGTTGGATGTGGCGGTCCCTTGCTCCCCGTGGCAGACCCCCTCCTGCTCCCCGCCTCCTCTCGGCTGGGGCAAGGGTGGGGTTTAATTAATACTCGGAGGCGAGATCCTGGATAAGCGGCGCGGCGTGTGCCAGCGGGGCCGGCAAGTCAATGGAGGTCCAGCCGCACGCGGAGGCGTCACCATGCGTCTTCCCCTTCAGCCAACTGCATCTGCACCGATTCGAACGTGATGGTGCCCCTTTGGTTATGGCAAGTTTGATGCTTTTTCTTGGGTTTCATTTTGGGTCAAGTTCTCCAGCGTCTTGCAGAAATCCCTTCTGGCCATTGAGCACAACTCAGTTCCTGCTCTCATCTTCGGCATGGGGAGGAAAGTGTCCCAAAGCAAACCAAAACCAGCTCTGGCGTGACGCGACTGGGGAGGCAGCGGCATCCTTCCACTCCCGAGTGTTGCTTTATATTGCAGCAAGCCTAAAAATCCCTGCTAGCGGGGGCTGAGCGTTACGCTCTGCTTTGTAGGTGAAATGTGGCAACGTTAGAGTTCGTCCAAAAACAACACGGTGACTCAAAGAGGGTCCCAGCTCAGAACTGCCACTGCTAAATACCAGCCAGGCTTTGAAACCCAAGTTCAAAATCCAGTCTATAAAAGATAAAGTAAACAAAACCAGGCTTGAGCTCGCTTAGCCAGGAGGCCAAGCTCTCCCAGCACAGACGTCTTCCCAAAAAAACACTGAAGAATTTGATTCCATCGGCTCTTCGCTGCCCGGCTTACGGATCCCCTTTGGCCAGAGCAGACGAGCCCGTGCCTGGGGCTTCCTGGCACCACCGCTCCAAACCAGCAAACCTCACCTCTGCTTCTTGGGCAGGGAAAGGAAGATCAGCCCCTGCACTGAATGGCACAAGCTTTATCCGAAGCACAGCATTAACTTTCCCAATCTTTGGGAGGAAGGGTTGTAACTCGGGGTCTCTGGCTCAGGGGCTGCTGATGCTGGAGGGCACGTGATGGAGAAAACCCCTGCGCCGCCGCTGACCCTTCATCTCTCATCTGTACCTGGGGAATTGCTTCCCTGGGGAATTCTGCTGTTTGCTAAACTGAATCAACATAGCTGTTATGTTTAGTAACATTTCAACTGTTGCTCATTTGATTCCAGTCATTAAAATTTAATATCAGCGTAAGCTTTGAGAAACCTGAGCTGACAGCAGCAAGAGCGGAGGGGGAAGAAATGCCCCGTCCTGAAAGCTCCTACGAGGAGGAGCTCTCGCTGGCGGCTGTCGCTCGTCCCTCGTGCTGAAGAGCCTGACTCGGCCGTGATGCTCAAGGAGACATGGCGCTGAAAGATTCTTCCAGCTTTTCGTACCCTTCTATACAAAAAAGGGGCTCCTGAGAGAGGCAGCAATGGAACGACAGTCACTTGGGTTAAAGTCATGCTGCAGACCGGGAGTTAAAGATGAGGTCCCTTTGCTCTGACAGCTTAACCTAAGCTAAACCCACGTTTTTTTCTTCTGTAGCATAGCTGTATCGGAAGCGATGTATCAGGATGTCCATATAAGCACAGACTCCAAACCACAGAAATGCCTTTCAGCTGGACTTGATCTCACCATAAAGCTAGGGGATAGGCTAGATGACCCCTTAAAGTCTCTTCCAGATGGGTTTCTTACAATCCTCTAACAATGTGGTGCTCCGAACCAGTCCCTACCCAGTTTTCCCCCACCCTCTGAAGGCCAGGTCCACCCTACACCTCTGTCCTGGCTTCTGATGGCCACGGGAGCCGGCGTGGGCTGAGCCCCTCGGTGTAGCCATCCCCACCGTTGCACCCGCTCGCTGAACCGAAACACCTCCTGCAGACAAAGCTTCCCCCCTGAGCAAGATCCGACAGCTGCTTCCCAGCCTCCCGCCTCCGAGAAACCCGGCCAGGAGGAGCGCTTAGAGCGGGAGAGGGCTCATCCCTCCCGTCGCCAGGATTAGTCCCTCTGCGACCTGGGAAAGGGGCTGGGGGGGGAGAGGAAACGCACGGGTGGCAGTTCTCCAAAAGTTAAGGGTTTGTTGGAGGCTGTGGCCTTTTGGGGCAAGTTTGAGGGGTGTCTGCAGGCCGGAAAAGAAAAACATATAGGAAGCTTCAAGTATAGGCTTCGAGAGTCATCTGTTCACGGCCTCCATCAGAGCCTTCAATATATCTTCTTTATTAAAATCTGGACACAATGAGTCCAGAAGTGCCCACCTTTGTCAGGGCTGCATTGGCAACATGCCTGGAGCCCTGGGGCCACGCCTAATTTGCATCTCATTTACACAGATGTTCATTAAAATTAATGCCTTAAGACATAATATCTGCCTGCATTTGAGCCTTCGGGACAGACGGACCGCGACCGCTTCTGCAGAGCCCCGGCCACCCCATCCTCCTCCCCACACTCAGCTGCATCGTCCCCATGCCGCCCCGGGGAGCGCTGCCCGGCTGAGGAGCTGCCTCTGGTCCCCACGGACACGCCATGCGTCCATCTTGTTTGCAGTCCAAGAAGGGAGACAGTTGTGATATTGTCTTAGGCACAGAGAAATAAAAGCCTGGTGCAACCAAAAAAAGCCCCCCATGGTCCCCGCTCCCCCCCGAGCCCAAGCCAGACTTCTCCACCGCTCTCCCTCCCGCACGTATGGAGTACAGACGGTCCCTGCCCGTATGCTGTGATGCCCTTCCACGTGCAGATCAGTATCTGGGATTGCATTTCCCCTTAGAGAGAACTGTAAGATGAGGCTTTGCAAAGATCTGCTCTGCAACATTTACGATTCGTGCAAAAATGCTTGCTCTCTGGATGAACTGTGCA